ATTCAAACCAAAATTTATATGATACATTAAATTTGAAGTTCGTTTTTCCACAAAATGGATAACGAAAAAACGCAGCCTTTTTTTTCTATTCCGCTTGCATACCATCTTCTCACCGCACCGAAGGAGGAATCGAACCTCTGCGCAGAAATTCTACGCCAAATGATTTGAAGTCATACTTAGCAACCATGCTAACTCATCGGTGCAATTTTATACCATCACGGAAAGCGACGTACAGTGAAATCGGCAATCCAAAACGTAACACCATGTGCCTGTCCCAATTGCCCACTGCCTGCAGCGCTTGGTCAACTCGAAGGGCATTCTGATGTACGCTCTACATATGTTCATTTATGCCGCGATGCCGCGCTTTCCCATTGCAAAAACCGAGAAACATCAAAGTCAATGTAAAAGTCATTGTCAAAATCAGAGACAAAATCGAAATGTTATTTGAAAAAAAAGGCCATGCTGTTTTATCATTGTTCGCCACGCCTTCTTATCATATCCCATGTTTGCGTTTTTCCTTTCTTGTAAGATTAAACACATTTGGCGTACCATTTCGGTGCGAAAAATGAATCGTTCGCCGCAGGGATTAAATGGCTCTCCGTTCCCCATCAAAATATTCTTCACTAAAAGAGGAGGAACGGTTTGTGCGTGCCTTTACGAGGATGATTTAGACCACTTACGGGCGTTCAAAAATGCCTGTACACATTCACTGCTTCGCTTTATGGAGAGCAAATTGCGAATTACACTTTTTTTTTTCCCTTGTTTAACGAGGAAATGCTGTGTTATGCATCAGAGCTTGCGCCATTGGCTTAAATTATTCCTCTAGCGTGTATGCAATTTTCTCCAACATAACATAGTCACCCTTAATGTAAAAACGGGAAATAAATTTAACTGTTATGTTTTTTTTCACAATTTTTTGACTCTTCACAAAGCAACACATTTGTAAAAATAACGCATTCATGCAGTTAAGCATATCATCCATCGGCACGTTGAAGGAGCACCAAAATAAGGACCACAGAACAAAGGAAAATAAATTGAACATAATTTTGCTAAGTGGGCTGCCTAAATGATAAATATTCGTCAGGTTAACTAATCATATGAATCCTTTGACGAAGAAAAAAAAGTATGCTTTTCTGATTTGAGAGAGAAATCTTATCGGACAAAGGAAGGCATTTTGAGGAAAGTCACTAACAATTCGCGAGCTCCAAATGACCCCTTTTTTATTTTCAAAAAAATGAGCACAACAAAAAGTCAATAAAAAAAGAAAAACGCATAAGTTACATTACTAAACTACTCTTTGCTGTAATATCATACGCAAATGGTTCATTATTTACTTAAGTCAAAACTGTTGCGTTAAAAAAAATTTATATACACCCCAATCGACATATTCCCGAAAACAATTTTTTTTGCAAAATAATTTTTCTTCTCACTCATCGCGCATATTTGTTTTGGAAAGAGTTATTATAGAGGAAAAATTCGATGAAAAGGCACTATACTTTTAATTTTGCTTAATTTTATTACGGGTAATTGGCGCAGTCGGTTAGCGCGCGGGTCTCATAATCCCGAGGTCGTGAGTTCGAACCTCACATTACCCAAACGGGCTAAGTTCTGCCCCCCAACAGGACTTAGCCTACACGATCCCGAGTGCTAAGGAGGTTCGCCAACTCTGCACTTTTTAGCTCTTATTACATATGTATTGTTAGTTTATTGAAAAAAAAATTTATAAACTTTCTTACATATCGAATGTTCCATTTATTCTTATATGTTTACGCATGCGGATCTAACAATAGTTTAAGTTGCAATAAAGTTCCTCACATTCAGAAGGGTAAAAAAAAAATGCTATTTTGTTTTTTTCTTTTTTTTTTTTTTTTGCATTAAACTCGGTGCTTAGGCATCCACTCAAGCGTATACGCGCACTATTTCTGACATATGCCAGAAAATTAATTACTGAATTTTTATTTTCCCATTGTAATGAAAAGATATGCGGTGTGCAATTTCCGATCGATCCAAAGAAATTATCTGCTTACCAGGTTAATTCAGCTTATCGGGCACTAAAATGAAAATGCCCCCAACTGCGTTAAGTTCTTCTTTTCTGTATACTCATATGACCTTGGGGTTATCGTCAAAAAATAGCAATTTTTTTTAAAGGATTCGCATTTTTGCTTATATCCTTTCCTTATTTCCATTTTCCCCTTTGTGTTCTTTTTCCTTTTTTTTTTCCGCAAATTTGTGTGCGAAACGAAGTAGCTTATTTGAATATTGCAACTGTATTCAATATTCACGCAATGTCTTATCTTTAAGGGGCCGGTTCTGTTACGTTGGGAAAGCTTCTCAAATATCAGTGTGACTGAGGAAAAATAATCGTTCTCTTCGCATAAGGACTACATTCATTTTAAATTTCTGACGAAGAAAATTTTTGAAACATTATGAAATGCGTATTCCGGAAATGTCATGTAACAGTATGTCGTTCCTCTTTCTGCTTCTACGCTTATATGTGTGCGAAATTTTAAAGAAACAGCATAAATTAATCAGTATGTACAATTCAGCCGTCATTACAATGTCGTTCGTTTTGAGAGAATTTTTTTTTTTAATTTACAACTGTAACGTTAAGGGGAGGGATAATGAACTGGGGTCAAAAATGTGCACTAATTTGTCGCAACAAATGAGGGGCAAATAACAAGGGGGGATATGACCTTAAAATGGAATTCTTATGTGGGAAAAAAAGGGAATGAAACATATTCATACCGTTGTACTGTACGTATTTACTATGCCCATCGGTTTTTTCTCTGCCTAAGGTGAACAATTTTGAAAGCATAATTATCCTCTCGCGGGTGTATGTACATGCTTTCTACGCGCACGCTGCGTATGCGAGGAGTTCCCGAATCAGCAGCCAGGGCGTAGGGAACATGCCTCTCCATGGAAAACTTGCCACATTTCGCATGATGGAATAAACAAATATAACTTTAATGTAGTGCCCTTTCAAATTGGGATATGATCACCGTCGAATAACCACAATTCATAATTCGTAACGGAAAAAAAAAAAATTCACACGTACGGGTTAATTTAATTAAAGACAAGTAAAAATGTCAACATGTAGCGGTAAATATGTGCCGCACATACAATGCTTTAAAGCAACAGCAAAAAAGCTGAAAATTTTCCCTCGCATTCTCGACTAACCATAGTTATTTGAAAAAGGCCACTTGTATATGCTGCTCACATACAGTACGACAACACCTGCGCGGAACCTTCTCTTTTAATTCACCAAGTGAGAAAACATGCAAAATGCTGCACTTTCAAAATAACGTCAGAAAGGAGGACCCTCCTGCAGTGCGATGATGTGGCGAAACGTTGGCAACATGATGTGGCAACCCCATTAAACATACCAAGAGCAGTTACACAAATGAAAAGTTAACCAACTGAGTGAATTGAAGCAATGGGTGTGTGTGTTTTGATCTATACTAAAGGGAGCGATGTGTGAGTAAACCCCGTTAACGACGGTATTGCGCGTCTGCATGTGCATTGGCACATATCTGCTTATACCTCTCCATCTCTGCGTACATGTCCACTGGTGTTCGTGCATGTATATGCGCCCGTAACCCCCATTGTTTGAAGCCTTTAATTTAGTAGAAATTTCCACGTGAAATAAATGCGTATATTCGCGGCTACGCACATGATTAAAATCTTTTAACAAAGCGGAACAAGGGGAAAAAAATGTTTGGGATTTTCCTCCAAAGGGGAAATTAAAAAATGCGCGCGAATGGGAAGGCAGTTTAAATATTTACAAATGTGGATTTACAATGTTAAGAAGTGTTTTTTTTTTTTCTTTTCTTTTTTTCGTCTTTTTTTGCTTCATTTGTGACAGTTCATCGTTTTCTACTTTTACTAACCCGTGCACACCAATATATGCACTGCTTTATATTTCTTAGAACATTTCAGTGAAGTTCCATTTTTTTTTTTTTTTCAAAGAGGGAAACTACATAAAACAGTACAACCTGATTAACTGCACACATAGATGCCACTCTTTACCTTCCTCGTTTTGTTTTTTACTATATGCAGTATTTTTTCCCCTTTTCAATCTTTCATTTTTAGTTGTCACCCCCCCAATTTCACAATGTAACTTTCAGAAGCGGACATTTATTCTAAATGGTCATCTGTAGCCTTCAACGTTTAGCATTTTTCTACAAAAAGGAATGTAGGAAGGTACGTCCAAGGGTAGTTTTACCTCCGCAAACAGTTGTGCATATGTATATGCATAAATGCACATGTTAAAAAATGACACCCACTTTTTTTCATGCGTTTTGACGGCAAAGAATAGGCCTACATATGCATCACGAAATATACCGCGCACTGTTATTTTTTGCCACTTCTCTGCAATCCGCGACGCTGTGATGCATTCCGCCATTTCCCCCACTTAAATTCTGTTCATTCAACTTTTTTATGCGTAAATATACGCCTTTTTTTTTCTTTTTTCTAAAAATACGCAAAAAAATTAAGTGAGTTAAACCATAACTGTTTTTTTTCTGGTTAATTTTTCTACGTATTTTTAGAAAAAGAAAAAAATGCATCATATTGCTCACACGAAGTGATATTTACCCCATTGAAGAAAAAATCGGCGCGGTGAAAACACATGCATACATTTTTGTAAAAAGTTCCGCCGTTGGAAATGAATTTTTTTCCCAAATCAAAATTCCGTGCGGCTGTTGGAGCAAACTACGCGAAGTTTACGCGCCTGCTGGAAATTGCGTGAAATGAGCGGATCATTGTGCTGTGCGCATTTATAAATTGAAAAAATTCAAAAAATTAAAAAAACTGTGCGAATTGCGAGAATTGTCAGAATTTTTTTTTCGAAATTGTGCCAACCGTTTGTGTGAATTTTTTCTGTTAATCGGGAAGCTTTGCACACATGAATTTCGCATCCGAACCAGCCTCGCGAAGCTATCACGCAAATGACTCGCATGACACACCCGCGCTGACCCCCCCCATTATTCTCTCGAACCAAAATGAATAACGCAAACACCTATTCTCCACTGTACAGCTCCTATGAAAACATTAACATATACAAACAGAAAAAGCAACTGGGGGATGAAGATTATGACACATCTACGGCCAACATATCGTGCGATTCCAGGGGAAGGATACTGATAAAGGGTAAAACTCGGAGGTTATTTCCACAACCTTTTTGTGTGCGCCTGTATGTGTACGCCTGTATGTGTACGCCTGTATGTGTACGCCTGTATGTGTACGCCTGTATCTGCAAACCTGTATCTGCATACCTGTATCTGCATACCTGTATCTGCACACCTGTATCTGCATACCTGTATCTGCACACCTGTATCTGCACACCTGTATCTGCATACCTGTATCTGCACACCTTATGCGTGTAACGGGCGGATGAGGAGCAGTTGACTGAAGAGCAGCCTTAAATTTTTGCTTTTAAATCTGTCCAGTGAGCCCAAGCGTCGGCATATATGTGTATGCATTTATCCTACATATGGAATATATGCGGATGTAGCGTATATGTATGCATACGTCTGGTGTCTATTTTTTCAGTCACTTTTAATCATTTGCCTTTTCTTTTGTTTTCTTTTTTTTTTTTAACACCACTCCCATTTTTAATGCGCCTTCCATTAATGCAAAACCAGTTTGTCCCCCCTGCCCATGCCACCTCCCAACGCATGAGCATAAATTTTATGTGTTCACGAGTGCATAAATATACGCACACACATACGTGCGCAAGTTTGCCAACAGGATCCCCCCTACGTTAACTACTACGTGCATTATTTTATTTTTTCTTTTGCATTAAATGTTATACCTTTGGGAATTTTTCTTATTAGACGAAATGGTTGCAAACTGAGACATTTTTTTTACACAAATATTTTTTTTTTTTTTTCTTTTTTTTTTATGCTTCGTTAGAATGTTTCATGAGGATATTCCCCCATGGGCTAATCTTCATTTTATGGCTAGTACATAAAGTGACAGTTTAATTGCCCCCCTTTTAGCGTCCGTCTTGTTTCTTTATGTGTCCATTTGAAAATTTTGACTGTGTGTATGTGTGTGTACTTTTTGGAAGAAATGATAGGGGGTGCGCTGTCCCGCTTCTGAGGTGATACGACTCCTTATTTTGCCATATATGCTTGCTGTACTCCCCCTGTGTTATCTTCACTCTGCTTTATTATCGAATTTTTATAATTGCGCTTCATTCCCATCGAGAGGGAAGTGTCCAAAGGGCGCCGTGCCACATAAATTGAGCCTCTTTGCGAATCGCTCCGCATTCTCCTCAAAGCAGCCGCCCGAATCGCAAGTAGAAGTCTACTCATCATGGCATTTTCTATTTCGGGGGAATATGCCACTGCTACATGTACTTCAGCGTGTTCTACATTCTCCAGGCTTACATACCCTGCGCATACACCACACGTACACAAATAGCTATTTTATATGTAAAGACCCTTGTATTCTTTTTTTTTTTTTTTTACCTCTCTGCAGATATCGAAAATGATAATAAAAACATTCGAACAAGGAGCAACGGAATGGCCAACACAACACATGGTGTGAAAATTACGAACAGACATGAAAAGCGAGAAGTCATTCCTGTTGTCCATGTGAGGAAGAAATCTCCATTTTTTGTCTCAAATAATCACTATGGAAAAAATTCAATTAATGATAATAGCATACCAACGAAGAAGTATTTGCATCCCATTTCCGGGATTCGATATGGAAATGTTTTGAGGTCCAAGGACAGCAACAGCATGAACGATATCCGACATGGTTACAGAAAGGATGGCACCTTGAACAGCAACGTCAATTGTAGTGGCAGTTGCTCCGCCAACTACCCTGCGAACTACATTGCAAGCACACGTGTAAAGGGTGACTCCTCTGCGAGAGGACCGCATAACATCCTCAATTATAGCCCCCAAACTATAGCGAAAAACTTCTCCTCCTACCAAATGTACGACGCGAAAGAAAACAGAAACATATTTAATCAGTTTAACAAAAATATATACGAGGACTACAACAGAATAGTTCTAGATGAGTACAACAGAAAGGTGCAAGATCATCGTAACGTAAAGTACCCAAATGGGAAATTTTCATCATATGATCATAAGTACCACCCAGTTAGCCATAGCCACAGCCCGAGCCATAACGATAACCATAACCATGCTTTTTCTTCGAATGCTCGCGAACCAATTAACTTTTACAGTAATAATAATATTAAGCTGAAAAGGTATGTGCCGTATGGTAACAGGGATTTACAGAATGGCAATCACATACATAACGGTTCATTCATTTTAAGTACCGACGCACAGAAATATGCCACCCTACATATGTTAAATCCCACACACAACACAAAAGATGGGTCCAGAAAAAACGTTTTTAAAATTTTTAACCGAAAAAAAGAACCCAATAATAATTTAACTCCTTCTGTTAATTCGTATTACCATCTTCCAAATATCCAAAAAGGACAAAGAAGAAGTTCATCATCCATAAACAAAACAAACTTAAGTTCCACTTCCTTCAGAAGAAAAATAAACAGCCAGAAAACGTCAAGTTGGAAAAGAGAACCAAATAATAACACCTTCAATAGAATTTACAATTTCATTTTTCCATTCAGTCCTAATAAGTCACGAAATAGTTTTGATTCCAAATCAGAAGTGAATAAATTTGCCACCCCTCCAAGGGATTCCTCACTTAATGAACCCAACCCTATATGCCGTAATGGTTACCTGATGCATAGTAACTCTAATCAAAATAGAGTGTTAAATATGGCAGGATATAACCTACCACGTGTACATAACGATAACATCATTCGTGATTATAGCAAATGGAATTATAGTAGTAGCAGTGCCAATGCCTTTCCGAACATCAGTTTTGCTTCCGCCAACAATGTAGATCATTTGAAGTACACCTCTCCTGCATCTATCTCAAAGAGCGGTAACGAAATAGTGTCCCTACGCCGAGATGATCAGTTTGCTAAAATATATTCTGCGCACACGGGAGCAGTGCCCAATGGAAACCCGCGAATCAGTGTCGTTTCGCAAAAGAATGCCCATCAGGACGACCGTCACAAGTACCACGAAAAGATCGTCACCAATATTTATCAGTTCACTGGTGGACTCGCAGCCAAACGGGACAATCATAAAGATCGGGAGGGCCCAAAGAGGGCTCCACAAAGTGGGACGAATAATGGTGCTAATAATGGCGCTAATAATGGTTCTAATAATGGTGCTAATAATGGTGCTAATAATGGTGCTAATAATGGTGCTAATAATGGTGCTAATAATGGTGCTAATAATGGCGCCAATCACTGTTCTAATAAGGATCCGCAAGGAAAAGGCCAAAGAAAGGCAACATCGCCAGGAGGCGGCACGCCCATGCAGGCCTCCCATGTCGGCCATGTTCTCCATTTTGACCTATCCAAGGACAGTGCAAAAAGCGGAGACCCCACAATTATGCCCCTCGACAGTAAGCAACAGCAGTGGGAAAAAAATAGTGCAATCGAATTAGCCCCAAATAAAAACGCAATAAATGAACAGAATCAGCTGCGTTCAACGAAGGCCATTCACCCGAACAGTCACTCGAACATGGCAGCAATTGTAATGAACAACCCCCCCAAAGGAGAATCGATAATGAAAACCGATAACAATGTGGCGCACACCACCAGTGATACCACAGAAAAAATAAACCAAGTGTTCAAGGAACAGATTAATAATATATACAGAAAGTCTATAGCGAGGGACAACAACTCCATAAAAATTGTAAGTGACCATGAAAGGAATAGCAGCAAGCATAATATATACAACTACAGCACAGTCATACAAAACAACTTCATTAACAGCTCAGATAAAATGTCCAAAATTTTAGTAGGAATAAAAAATGAAAACGGAACGCACAACAAAAATGATACCAATCTAGATTTTGTGAATGTAAACAAGTACATAAATAACATATTCAGAACGAGCAACAATAATTATGATCATACAAGTAATAAAGAAGGTGTACTTATTGGCCAGTACGGACAGGGCAACAACACCTCGAAAAGCAATCCTTTCGGCGATATGCACATTAGAGAGAATACCAAATGTGGAATGTCAAATCAGGATGCCTTTAAAACCTACCAGAATTTCAAACCTAGTAACGACTACCTAATGAACAACGCACATCGCTTACGTGAACTTGAAAAAAAACATGGAGTTATAAGTAGCCCCAACTTATGCGCAAATGATACCACCAGCGGTATTAACGAGAACACGAAACATTTAATGAGGCAATGCATATTGAATAAATTTCTCTATGAGCAGAAAAAACAAGAAAACGAAACCAATGGTAGGAAGAACAACATTTCCAACACCATGGACCATTTTATGTACAAGAATGAAAAGGGATTTGAATCTCTGCCATTGTCAAACGATAAGGAGAACCCAATTGTTAAACTGCTAAACAGGGGTAACCGAGAAGGACCAAACGTCGACGGTAAGATAAATCTAATTGATGGCAACGAACACATCGTTAGTATGCTGAAAAAATTGCACAATGTAAGAACCGAGGATGACTTGGCAGATAAGGTTATAGGTAACATGGAGCACATAAAACTTTCCCACCTTTCCAGCTTAACAAAAAATGAAATAAATAAATTTATCGTGGGTAATAGCACTGAGAATCATAATCAGTACATAAAGTCCATCGCCTCCATGGATAACAATGCGTACGAGCCTCTAAATGTTAAAGCGAACTGTTACGAACCCGCTTCCACGAAAAACCATGCCAATCGAGGGGTACATCACAAGGATGGAACCGAAGATGCTGCCCCCCAAAGTGCAGACGAACATAACATATCACTAAAAAAGGAGAGAAAAAAAAAATCAGGAAAAAAAAAAAAAAGTCCAAAAAATGTGCATTACGATATTGATGAAATATTGCAGCTAAAGTCCAAGGTCTACGAAGAATTAAACACCTGCCTAAAATGCATTAACAGTTTAACCAAAAATAAAAAATTATTTGAGCAATTAAAAAAGTATAAGAATAAGCTTGATAAGAAGGCCCAAATGGGGGCTGACACCTCTGAGCCAAGTCGCTCGGACCAAGCGGAATCCTACTATACGATGAAAAATTCATACATCTCGTCCTTCCTCTGCAATGAGAACACAAGCGCTGACTCGCAGGGACTTCACAGTGCCGCTGTCGTTGCTAGTGGAGACTGCGTAACCAGTGGTGACTATGTGGCCAGCGCGAAGAACCTACCGAAGCTGCAGGCAGACATGAGCATTTCAAACAACACGGACAACAACGCCACGATTATCGCTCCCCCCAGTGATGAGAATAGCGAACTTATAAAAAAGATCAACCGAACCAATTTTGCTGCCCTTCCCCTCGCAGTTGACAACAGTAAAAATTTCACACCAAATAAGGCATGCCCGAATCAGTCCCAAAATAAGCAAATCCGGGTGAATGATCCTGGAAGGAAAAAAGATACAGTGCATTTCAATTTGTTCGATAAAAACGTATTCGAAAAGGAAGAAGAAGAAGAAAAAAAAAAAAAAAAAAAAAGACTCCTACGTGAAGACTGGAGAAAGCAGATATTCGCTGTACAAGGAAGAATCCCCCAACGTGGGGAAGAGGAAGGCTCTCCTCGTTACACTAAATTATAATGGGCTGCTCGAAGGATGTGTAAATGACACCTTGGAAATGTGCGAACATTTAGTAGGGACGTTCAAATTCAATGAATTGATACTCCTAAATGATTGCAACCTTTGCTATCGAAACTTCGTCGCACAAAAGGCCAACAAAAGTAACATCATTAATAACCTCTACGAATTTGTTGTCAATTCAAACAATGGAGACATTTTATTTTTCTATTTCTGTGGATATTCCATCAAAATAATTGATTCAAAATTCTCACAGAACAATAACTTTGCCTTATTGCCAGAGGATCACTCGAAAAATAATTACATCTATTCAAATGAAGTATTTAATATAATTAAAAAGTTACAAGGAGGGAAACAACTGTGCATAGTTTTTGACACCACCTATACTTCATACTTTGTCCCCACTTGCACCACCATCACGTATAATAAAAGCATTGACTCCAGTGAAATATCCAAAAATTCTCATTTACTGAGCACGAATAAGAAGCACGTCTATTCGCTGAGAACCTTTGGAAAGATAAGAAATCGACACGTCGAACCCATTTACGTCGAAAATTTGAGGATGCCCCTGTCCCACGATTTGTATAAACAGGAGGAGATGAAGAAAAATGCAAAGGATGTCCTCGTCCCCTCCATCTTTTTATTCTCCCCTGACGTGAGGGACCGAGGAGACTTTGAGCTCCTCATCAGAAATAGGGTTAGAGGTAGGTGGTAGCCGCGCAGAGTAGCCCACAATCATGTATACCCGTGTGTGCATAGGTGTGATCGGGCGCATACCTTTGGGCTGGGCCAAATGTGCACAACGGAACGTATAAATTCGTCCGTGCATAGCTACATACATACGTAGTTACATACGTCCTTACTTACATATTACACACTTATTCACCCCTCCCCCCCGCGCAGGCCTCCTAACCTACTGCATCGGAAAGGCAATCGTCGTGTTGAAGAAAGACTTCTCCTACCACGACCTCTTCATCGTTGCGTCCCAAGTGCTAATCAACATAAAGAAGGAGTACAAATTGAAATACATAAAATTTAAGCTGTCCTTCCTGAATGACCACTCGCCGGATGATATAAAATTCTTATCGCACGAAAGTCTGCTTCTTAGGGGAAAAGGAAAACCGGAAGAAGAGCCCCTCTGGAAACCCTCCTTACGATTAAACAACCTAAATGAATACATGAAGGACATTTGTAAAATCAAGGAGAAAAAGACTCAGGTCAGTTTTTCCAAAAAGTGCTTGCTCATCTTCATAAAGGATATAAAATTCTGCCCCCACGTCAAGATGGACCCCTCCATTGAGTACTTCGTCAGTTGCTTTGTCAAAGCGAAGGGTCTCAACATACTGTACGTCAGGTAGGTCTCTACTCTCCTTGGGCAGCGGTCCACATCATCCTCTGTGCGAAGCAGCGCGCCGACGCCCATGTTGCGACACCGAAGCTATTACACCCATGCTGTTACATCTATGTGTTTACCCCCCCTCACCAGGCGAAACAACACCAAATGTCAGAAACTCGTCAGGGACAAAATCTTCTTCCTGGAGTACATTATCCTGAATGTGTCCGACCTGGTAACCCTACAGGAAAACGGACGGCCGACTACGCGTCCGTTGTCGCGCCCGAAGAAAAAACGAAAAAGTGGATCCCCTAAGGCGAAACGTGTGAACCAACTCAACCCCTTTCTGCTCATCCGCCACCCGCAGGACAATACCAAAATTTACGTGGAACTGTTCAAAAAGAAGAAAAAAAACTACTTCCTCGCCAGGAGCGTATTACGGATAAGGTAACAACACAAAGCGGTTCCCCCATCACATGCACATAAAGTGCACCCTTATTGTATGTGCACATGAAATGAGCAGAACAGCACATTCTTACCCATTCCCATCCCCTCCCTCAAATAGCAACACGAATGGAAATTTCTCCCTAATGGATGAAAAGGTAATTAAAAGGGAAAAAAAAAGAAAAAAAAACAGCGCCTTTGGAATGTGCTTTATCTTGTTTCCATGCCAACTGATATTTTATTTGGCAATACAAGTGCATGTCTTTGCACCGGGCTGTCTGGAAATAAAGCTCTCCTGTCAACAGTGTGCTACCCATCCATCTGACGCAACTGCAAACGCGGCCCTCTTTGATGTTACATTATCTTGCTTTTTTTCCCACGAGCAGAAAAACATAATCGGCATCATCGATTTGAGCATTAAATGCGTCTCTTAACAGAACGGATCCCCATTTTTTTTTTTTTCTTTTTTTACCTAAAATACCTTTAAGAAGAGTCTCCCTTCGTGGTGACGTCGTCCCGTTTATTTATCCCCCAGCCCTTCGGCTGCCGCTTTAATTTCTTTCAAGGAGCATTCGTATAAGCATAAGTTGTACACCCAAATGGTATGTATCCGCTCGCTCTCTTCATTTTTTTGGTATCAAATGAAAATATCAATTGAAAACAATTTTGAGAAA